GGGGTACGCCTCCCGCCCCTGTGAAGTCACGAGAGCCAGAGCAGGACCGAGGAAACGTTAAGCCCTTCTGGTCCGTGCCCTCAGCAGCTGAGGAGGTGACTTACTGCGAGGCGGCAGCGCGTCTGACCAGGAGTGACTCGGTCTCCGTGGAGCGGGGAGTGAAAGGCCCACGGTGTCGGTATTCCCGGTCGGTGTGCCGTAGCAGCGCAACGGGATGAGTGTGCACCATCCCCGGAGGTCCCAGCTGGAGCCAAGCTGGCCGCAGCGTGCTGCGCCGAGGAGAGCTTGTCTCACGACGTAGGGAGCGATACGGCTTTTGATGACCTCCTCTGCCGCAGAACCCAGAAGCGACCAGCTCTTAGTGTCTGTCGCCAGGGCGCCAAGATGGCAGAATGTCTGTCTGCAAGCGTGCAGCTGCCGGTGGTGCTGCCGAGGTGCGCGGTGGGCGGCCGCCGGGCCCGTGCCTCCTTGTCCCTCCGCTCCGCTTCAGCAGGGGCTCTGCCCAGCCAGCCCAGCGATGCCTGCCTGGCTCATCCGCTGACCCGGCCGGCGTAGGGTCAGCCAGGAGGAGCGCAAGGATGCGCCTCGAATATCGCCGCTGCGCCTCCGGTGAAATGGCGCACGCGCTGGTCAGTGCGAGACGTGACTCGGCCGGTCAGTACCAGCCTCCGGCTGCAAGTTGTCGCTCCCTATGGCTGTATTGGTAATATCTTCTGCTATTAAAAAAACAAAAAATCACCTTTTTTCTCCTATAAAATAGGTTTACTAAGTCAGTATGGCCCTTTGTAGCACCCAAAAAGTGAATTCATCATCAACTAATGTGAATGCTAAAATGTGATTTTTTTAAATTATTATTCTTACTTTAATTTACAGCTCATGTGTTCTCCATTTTCATGCTGGCACTCAGTACTGCTATAAGCTATTGTAAGCTTTTTAAACTGTTACATTACTTAAAAAGACCATGCTAGTCTATGTGTACCTGTTTGCAAATTAGGCTGTCACATCTCTGCCAGTATGTCCTAATGTGCTAATACAAAAACATGTATGAGTTGTTCTTTAGTTTATGCTTTTAAGCCAGTTGCATGTCACTATTTTTGGTGTTGCTATTTTTATGAATAATTACTGGCCTGTGAATTTCTCTTGTGGAATTATAAATGATCTTTTATTTCATTATTATTGAACTTTCTGACATTCAAAAGATTGTGAATTGCTCTTAATTGTGCAAACTGACGTTTTGTATATAGATGAACAATGGTTAGGTTCTACTTTAATAGTTAATATCCATCATTAAGGCTCTTACTGTTAGATCAAATAAGGTATATTGTGAATATCTGAGCAAGAAGATTGAAACTTCATTATTTTAGTAATCTAACATCTTAAGTGAATTTTATATTTCAAGGACACAATAAAAATGAATATCTCTATTTTAATATTGAATGACTGTCCATGGTATTTTTTTTCAAGCTTACATTTACATTTTTCTCACAGTTTCACAACTGTTGCTTTCATTTTCAAATTATTTATTCAGCATAGAGCATTTTTCTGTTACTTGATCTTGAAAGGTATTTCTGTAAAGCAAAAAACTTTTAATTCAGCACTGTCATGGAGCAACTCATTTGAATTTAGGAAATTATCAAGTCTGCTTCCCCCCATCAAACTTAATCCAGTGTTTATCAGAAAAAAAAAAAAAAAAAAGTAGTACTTCTGACATTCTTAGGACATTACTCAAAATGAGTATAAAGATTTGCCATCCACTGGTGATTCCCAAATACAACTCCTATGCTTTTCCTTTTGCAAATCTCGGTATAGTAGAACATGTACTACCTAATGTAGAATATTTTGTCCCCTCATAGCATTCATTTAAAAAGGGGAAATGAATGAAAATTGTTACAATATGCAGCACCGTGTCAGCAAAGCACAACTTGGCTTTTCTGGGTATCCCTGTAGCTGCTGAGTTCTACAAGTAGGTATTTAATACGAAGGTTGTACCCTAAAGCCATTTAGTGTTTCTTCATTCCTTCATGCAGAAACGCTTGTCAGGTATGGCTGTGAGGGGTGTTGAAGATACGTCCTAGACGAGATAGACCTGCAGCATTTTTCTGGGTTTGATAAATGTGTTTGCAATTGTGCAATTGCTTTAATTTCAGATTATAT